GAGCCCAGCCTGGGCTCGTCATCCTCGGGATGGTGCTGGATGGACGCGAGGGGCGCTTCCGGCACGCGCCGAAGCGGGCCTGGCGGCTCTACTTGGCGCTGCACCACGTACTCCGGCATCCCTGGCTGGCTCGCTGGCAGCTCCGGCGGATCGTGGGCCACATCGCGCACTACTTCTCGGTGCTACGGCCTGGCCTCAGTGTCCTGGGCGCCAGCTACACGCACATCTCCAGCGGCGACTTGGCCGAGATGGCGCGCGTGCCCCCTGACGTGCTGGGCGAGCTGGCGACCGCAGCCGGCCTGGTCTTCCTGGGCGAGGTCGACATGTGCAGGGTGCCGTCGGACATCGCCTTCACCACCGATAGCTCGATGCAGGGCTACGCCGTATGCGAGGCCCGCCTGCAGCCGTGGGAGATCTTGGCTACCACTCGCTGGCGGGAGCGCCGGCGCTTCGTGTCCTCGAAGGTGGAGATCGCGCCCGACACGGAGGTGTATGAAGGGCGCGTGTTAGGGCTGCTCGACGCCTCCGAGCCGTTGCTTCTGGAGGCCCCGCCAAGGCTCAGACGCGCCGTCGCTCGGCGGCGCCGAGTCGAGCTCGAGATCGGGGTGCCGCCCGAGCCCTTGGCGGGGGCGCTGCTGGATCCAGCGCGCTGGGCGGAGCGGCGCCGAGGTGCGTGGCGCTGCCCAGGGCGGATCCACGCCTTGGAGGCGCGGGCCGCCGTCGCTCCCCTGTGGCGCGCTGCAGGCGATGTTCGGTTCCACGGCACCGAGATCCTCAGCTTGTGTGATAACATGTCGTCGGTCCTCGCCTTCGAGAAGGGCAGGGCCACCAGTTTTGAGCTGCTGGCGCAGTGTCGCCGTGCTGCCGCAGTGTGCCTGGGCTGCGAGATCCGCTGGCGCCCCAGGCATGTCCCCGGCATCCAGAACGTCGCGGACCACGGCAGCAGGGCGGCAGATCGCGGTGAGCTACGAGCTGGGCGCTACCGAGGGCGAGGGGCCCTCTCGGGGCCCTCTCGGCACCCACGCGGCGCAGCCGTCGCGAGCCCGTGGTTCGGCCCTCGCGGGCGCAGGTCTGTCAGATCGACGGGAGGGAGGCCGTGTCTCTGCGGCCTGAAAATACAAAGAGTCAGATTAGTCAGATTGTCTTGCCATCTCAGACGCTGTACACTCACACTTTTTCTCATCCAATACCTTCTGCAGTTGCGTTGCCAGCCAGCTGGGCCGAGGGGCGCCCCGACACTTCCCGTCCACATCATCATGAGTGCTCCCGTTGTCAAGGCTGCGAAAGTCAAAAGAAGCCTCAGGAGGACCCGCTCAGCACCCGTAACGCTCAGGGAGGTGCATGCGAAGGCCCTGGTGATCTACATGTTCTACCCGCGGGACCTCGAGAGGACCCCGATGGAGCTCGCCAGCGACTGGGTGATCGTCTTGGGGATGCTCGTCGTCTTGGGGTTGGGCCCCCTGAACTTCCTCGGGCTGACCGTGGTCGCAAGGCGTTCTTGGAGATCTTTGTTGGCACTGCTAACCTCACTGGAGCCCTGCATGAAAGAGGCCTTCGAGTTCTGCCCCCGGTGGACATCAAGATGAGCCCCCATTGTGACCTCACACGTCCCAAAGTTCAGCGTCTGGTGCTACATTGGCTCAAAAGTGGCGAGATTTGGTGGATTCACCTCGGCCTCCCCTGCACGCGTTGGGTGCCCGTGGGAGGCAATCGCGATCCCTTGCCTGTGGATCGCGTCCTGGTCTCGTTCACCGTCCGCGTCCTACGGCTGTGCAGGCGGCTTGGGATCTTCGCGACCTTAAGAACCCGCCCGCGAGCCGCGTCTGGCACTGGCCTGCGCTCGAGCGGGAGCTCCGGCGCTTCAAGTGCCCCAAGGTGCTGTTCGACTCGTGCAGGTTCGGGGCTCCGTTCAAGAAGCCGGGCGCGATCGCGGGCAGCTTGCCAGGCTTGGAGGCTTTGGGGCTTCGCTGCTGCTGTGCCGGTCGGCATCGCGTTGAGCTTCAGGGAAAGGTCCGACATCCTACTCGAGGCTGGGTGTGGCGGACGACCCTCGCGAGCGCCTACCTGCCGAGCTGGTGCCGGTTGCTGGTGTCCCTGGCTGGCCCCCATGCGCCGGGCGGCGCCTTCGGCCGAGCCACGGCGACAGAGCTCCAGGGCAGGGCTCACGCGCTGGCGAGCGCGGCAGGCTGCCGAGAGCCCCGAGCCGTCTCGGCGCCGATCTGCCCACAGCGCTTTCGGCTCCCCTGGCGGCCAGGGTGGGCCTCCGCGCTCGACCCGAAGCCGCGGCAGCGCTGATGCAGCTTCTGCGCCCTCACCAGCTCGCCCGTCGACCTGGACGCCGAGAGCATCGAACGAGGCAGCGGCCGCAGCTTCTCCGGGCAGGGCAGCCGCTGGGCGCGCCAGGGAGACCGACGGGCGCTTGGCGCCAGTGCCGAGGCCGCTGGCCAAGGCGCAGAGGCGGCGGCGCGCTGACGCCGCCGCTCGCGGCGACGCCGCGGCCGCCGATCGCGAGGCTGGCCCCGGAGACTACCTTCGGCTGGCCAGCTTGCGTCCGGCGACGCTCGCCAGCTATCGTAAGGCAGTTGAGGCCCTCGAGGCGTTTGCGCAGGAGCGTGGTCTCCCTTTGTCTTCACCGCCTGAGGCCGACTCGGCCTTGAATCTCTACTTCGAGGAACTGTTCTTTGCAGGCGAACCACAGTACGTCGGCCGCCGAGCCCTGCATGTTCTGCGCAAGCAGCGAGGTTGGTCTGCTGCACGGCCGAACTTTCAGAAGGCAGAAGATGCCTTGGCTGGTTGGTCAACCAAGATCCCGCTGTTCTTGCGTGATCCGCCCCCGTTTGAGGCCGTTCAGCTGGTCTGCTCTGTCCTTGACAACGGCGCGGGCCTTGACCTTCTGGTCGCGCTTGGCGCCTTGGTCCAGTTTGACATGTATTTTCGGCCCAGCGAGCTCCTCTCGATAAAGCCCGAACATGTCTTTGGCTCTCGATGCTCAGGACCCTCCGCCGATATCACTGTCGTTGTTGCTCCGTTGAACGAAGACAAGCCAGCAAAGAATCGCGACTTCGATTGCGCAGTGAAGGCAGGCGCTGATCTGCCCCTCCGTCGCCTGGTGCCCGAGATTCTGCCTCGACTCCGTGCCCGGGCGCGGCGGCAAGGCCTCCCTATTCTTTTCGCCCCCTCTCTCTCTCGTGCAGTGCGAAAAAGCTTTGAAGGCCGCGGCTGTCACCGCGGGAGTGGTAGACCTTCTGTCAGTGCCCCATCAGCTTCGCCATTGTGGGCCTTCGCACGACGCCCTGCACGATGTTAGGCCCATCTCAAGTATTCAGGCTAGAGGGCGCTGGCGCGCCCGTGAAAGTGTCAGGATCTATGAAAAGCACGGCAGCGCGCTTCGGCAGCGTTCGAAACTCTCGGCCTGGCTGCTTGCCAACGCTCAGAAGTTCTCGGAGGCGCGAGCTCGAGACATGCTTCGTCGGGTATGTGCCTGACCGCGTTGCTTGCTATTGGCGCCGATTTCGTCCATCTTGCCTCGGCTGGCGCTCGACGCCACAATGTTGTTCTTCTATTTCCCGCCCGCCCTCCCTAGGGCATTTTCTATGGGGGTGGGACTGGACACCTGGTGTTGTGGCTCTCTGGAGGTGCGATTTTGAATTGCACGCTGGCCTTGCGGCCATTTCTTCTTGAGAATCATCCGTGGATGTCACCACGGCGCTTGCCTTCTTGTTGCCGTCTGAAAAAGAGCGAGAGATGGAATCCAGAGTGTTGTCGCATGTTTCCGCGACCCCGTAGAGGGAGGCCCTGCCGTAAGACAGGAATGATTTGTCTCTGACTGGCTGAATGGCCTCGACAGTTTCTGAGCGCACGACCGCTCCGCCTGCGCTCTCTGTCTCGCCGAAACCGTTCTGGCTTAAAGCTCCCACCCGCCTCCCCCGCACACCTGGACACTTGGTGTTGTGGCTCTCTGGAGGTGCGATTTTGAATTGCACGCTGGCCTTGCGGCCATTTCTTCTTGAGAATCATCCGTGGATGTCACCACGACGCTTGCCTTCTTGTTGCCGTCTGAAAAAGAGCGAGAGATGGAATCCAGAGTGCTGTCGCATGTTTCCGCGACCCCGTAGGGGGAGGCCCTGCCGTAAGACAGGAAGCTATTTTCCGCGATTGTAGACCCAGTCGGTACATCCCCCACAATAGCTCCAATGTTTGGCATTCGTCGGCATGTGTACTGAGCGGTGCACGTATGGAGAAATCGTCGGCACACCAGCTGTGTGCACCGACCCTTATCTGGCGACAGGCCGAATGACAGGAATTGGCCGCGGACTAGCGGCCCACTGTGTCCTCACGGGAACTCAGAACCTTGAGCCGAAATGGCTAAGGAGGAAGGGGAGGAAGGGGGGGGATGAGAAGGAATAGGACGAGGAGGAGGAGGACGACGAGGAGGAAAAGGAGGGGGAGAAGGAGGAGGAGGAGGAAATTGAGGAAAATTATGAGAATGAGGAAAAGGAGTTTCGGTGGCAACCCAACCGCAAGGTAGCACAGAACCCCCCCCATCCGCGCCCTACCCCCGCCCCGAAGAGGGATGATGATGGTTTAGGAAGGACGAGGATGAAGAGACGAAGGGAGATGCGGGGGGGCGGACAGACAAGGGGGAGGGCGGATGAACGGCGGAGGATCGAGGATTGAGGATGAGGATCTGTAGTCCTCCCGGTCCTCCCTGTCCCCCCCCTCCCTCTCTCATCTTCCCTTCCTTTTCCCGGTCCCCCCCACGCGACCACAGCGTGATGACCAACGACTTCAGCGAATTCCCGTTCCTTCTCTTCCTCCCCTTTCCACTCCTCTTCCTCGCCCCCCCCCTCGTCCTTCACCCCTTTCCATCGATGGACCGTGCGGTGAGGTCGTTGGGGAATCGGAAGTCATGATGCGGTCTGTCACCGCACCGTTTCGGGACGCCAGCGGTCAAGGAGGAGGAGGGTGTGGAGGGGATGGGCCCCTTCGTTTCTTCTGAGCGGTCCCCGCAGATGTGGCGCTCGCACACCTTGCTCTTGCTCGAGCCACCACAGAGGCGTCCGAGCCTGGGCTGCAGCAGGAGTTTTTCTTTCACCAGTCTCCAGGCCGCCCAACTTAGTCCCGAACAGACCCCAGATCTCCAACGTTTCGATTAAATCTAGATGTGCGTTTTTTGTCCGCCGTGGTGCGCCCTGTTCGTTGTTCGGGAGGAATGAACAGTTATCAATGACGCGTGCATGATCTGTCAGAGTTGCTTGCTCGCATGATGTGCCAAAGCCTGGAGCTCCAAGAGAAACGCGCCGATGGGGTCGTCGGGCGGGCGTGGCATTGGTACAGCGTTTGGTCTCTCCGACTCTGTTTAGGGCCACAGGACGGCCAAGCACCATTCGGGGTGAAATATCGGTCCCTGAGGCTGAGGGGTTCGAGAACACGTCCATGAGGGGGGACATCTAGTGGACGACCAGCTCAGGGGGTGGGGGGAAACCTCGACCAGAAACCACCGATAGATCGATGTCAGGGCTCCGATAGCGAATCCGCACGTCCTTGGGCTGGTTTGGCTATCGGGCCTCTGTCGGCGATCAATTGGCGAGTGAGGGTGGATGCGTCCCCTCTCTGAGCTGGCAAACAAGGACTACAAGCACTGACGGCCTCGGCCCCCCGCGCAGGCCCTCAAGGGCCCCGCTCCCGGCGGAACCGCGCGCTCGCTCGCTGGCTCGCTCGCTCGCTCGCACCCCCTAGCGTTGCCCCTAAGTCCAGTGCCCGCGTATTGCAGATGCCGCCGATGCACAGGCGGTGCATCCAGCGAGGCGGGTGGTGAAATCTTTCAACGCCATCATAATAAGTTTCGATCCGACCGAGCCGACCCGAAATGCAAAGTTCGAGGCCTCAAGATCTGGGATGTTGTCGGAGGTTCACGCCGAGGCGCCGACGCCTGGAGCCCTTTCTATCCGTTCAGACATCGCCGAGGCATCGGCGTACATTTAGCGAGGCGGGCGGTGAGATCTCCCGACCGACACCGTCGGAGTACATTTCGATCTGACCGATCAGATCCGATACCGATTCTGGCCCGATGCGATTCGATTCCGATTCTCCGACCGCCAATGCGGCCCGATGCCTTGCATGGCGCCGTTGTGCATTCTGGCGCGGCCGATCCGATTCGATGGCGACTCCGTGTTGATGCGGCCCGGTCCGACCGAGCCGGCGCACGTTCCGAGTCGGCCCGATTTCGCGATTCGATTTTGGTTGCTCCTGCCCATGCATCGGTCATGCATCTCAGCGCCGCGGTCGGTGAGATCTTCCGATGCCATCTGCTCGAGCCACAGTCTGGGCGGCTTCCGCCAGACTGATTAGTTCGGCCCTCGCGCTTGAGGCCTATTGAGTCCTGTCCCCCGCAGGGCCAACTGCCTTCTACTTCAGGATGTGCGCCGGCGTGGAGGAGGGAGGGGAGGAGGACGAGGAGGAGGAGAAGGAGCAGGAGGAGGGGGACGAGGAGAAGGGGGGGAGGAAGAGGAGGAGGAGGAGGAGGAGGAGGAGGAGGAGGAGGAGGACCCCCACTCACTGTATGCTGCTACAGACGGCACTGCAGGTGAATGCGTGGACGGCTGCAGGATGAAGGGTGCCCAGCACCGAAGTTAAAGAGTGCACTGAAGCAACGACATCAGCACAGAAAAGTAAAGGCCAGAGGAGGTTGGAGCACCCTGGGGGTGGGAACCAACACAGAGTCCTCTGGGCAGGTGGCCCCGCCAGCTCCCAGAGACCCCGAGGGGGGGTGGAAGCAAGTGGTGCGGCCGTCAGTGCGCTAAAGCTGAACGACGGGCTCCTGCCCGGAATCCCACACACGAGAGCTCTGCGGAGGCAATCCTTTGCGAACTCGCTGCAAAGCTTGTAGCTGCTTAGGGGAAATACGGTGCGGCCCATCCAGGGCCACAACGCAACCAGCTAACAGGTTGACCGGTCGCTGCGTGGCCCACGCACCACACAAGCCACAACATGTAGATTTGCCTTTATGCCACAGCTCATGTGAAGAAGACAGTTGCTGCCCTGCAATGAAAGCAGGGTGGGCTACGAGCATAGGCGGATCGTCCATGCCAAGCCTGATCCAAAGGGCACCATCGATAGGGGCCAGGGGACCAGGCGCAGACCTCAGGCGGGGGGGCGGGACAGGGGCCCTCGGAGCCAGGGCCGCGCAGGCCGAAAGGACACGGTCCCGAACCCCCCGAGTCTTTTCTTTGGCATGGAGTCCGCATTCAGAACAGCGCCAGAGACCAGGCGCGTGCAATTCAAAATGGTGCTGCGATCGGCTCACAAAATCTACTCGCTTCTGGCGGAGGGCGAGCAGCCTCGGAACCTTTGCTTTCACGACCACGCGCTCCTTGTTCTTCGGCTTACTCGCGATCTCCAAAGTGAGAGTGGCAATCCGGAGCAAGACCTGTTTGGCCTTAAGCTCAAGCGCCAGCAAAGCTTGGCACTGGTGCGCGGGTACCTGATGCGCATCTGCTTTACTGGCGGCGAGCTCGTCCGCTACGCGATTGATATAGACATGATACGGGTCAGTGCTTCTCCAAAACCGTTCAAACTTGTCCGAATTCTCTGCTAAATGTGACGGCACATGCACTAGCTCAAGGGGAACAGACCTCTTAGTAGCCAACACCCAGAACTCCCACCACAGGTCAGCATTGGCAAGGTGAAGGCAGTGGTTCCTGCCCTTATCATAGGCCTTGACATGATTTATATGGCCACATACAATCACGAGCGATTCAGACCACCTGACATGGCGTACAATCTCCACGAGAGCAGTGAGCTCTGCTCTGGGAACACTCTGGCGGGAGCTGTCACAGACACCTGTAACTCCATGGCTCCAGGAAGGCACTCCGTCCTCATCAACCTCCAGGCGAGCAAAACTAAAAGAGCCTCTGCGGAGAAGCGGGTACTGCGACCACTGTCCGCCTGCAGCATCAGAGCCATAGGTTCCGCCAGGGAATGGGGTCGAGGGCTCGCACCCGAGGTACTCCAGAAGGCGAGGGGAAGGAGAGGGAGGAAGATCCAACCAATCACTAGGAATGAGCCCTCTTCCCCAGAAAATTTGGGCCACCTCGAAATCTGCAAGGGCCCCATGCCGCAGATGCTCAGTGTCAGTCACCCGGGCGCTGTCATGACTGGCATTACACATACATTCCCAAGCCCTGTGCTGAGGGCTCTCATCGGATCGAAAACATCGCTGGCAAACGCTATCGGGAACAATGCCACATTCGAATTTGCGCGATTCTGTCCACATGCCTCTGGCCGCAATGGTTCTGACCATTGCTGCCAGACCTGCCTCACCGTCTTTCGTGAGTTTCCTAGCGAGCTCTCCCACGTGCTGCCAAGAGACTCCTCGCTCAGCACCGTTCCCGAGATAAAACTTAGAGGCCTCCAGCCACTGCATGCTCTCGATGCTGGCGCTTAAATCTTCCAATAACGGAGTGGCAGGGAAAGATACATCTTCTACCCGAACCCAGGAATCTCCCTCCGGATTGATAAATTCGCGAGCGCCGGGGCAAGACCATCCTATGTGCAACAAACTCGCCTGCAAGGCTGAAAGTGGGCCCCTCACCCAACTCCAGCCTTTCTTCGCTCTGTTCAACGAGATCTGCCAGGCAGCTTCAACTCGAGAGAAAAGATTCGGGGGTTTTGCGAGCCGGCCCAGCCACGTGGCTACGAGGCGACGAATGTGGACCTGGACAGGGTCACGGCCCGCCCCGAAAGACAGCCTGATAGCAGAGGTCGCACACGTGCCTGGACCACTCACAAGACTACTGGCATGCGACCTCGGCGCAGCAATCGGAGACTAGAAGGGCTGATCCCGTGCACTTCAGCAGCCCACATCGCCTTGGGGTAGGCATTCGTAAAATATAACTTCGGCGAACGCTTGTCGGCACGAGTGAAACGCATTATCTTGCCGGCAGCCCGGGCACCCTTGCGAAACCTATCTTGCCGGACCTTGGCCGCGCGACGATTCAAGAAGGTTGTGTCATGGCCTAGATCCCTAGCGTGCAAAACTGCCCCGACGCCTGCTAATGCAGTACCTGCCGCTGCATGCGAAAGCTGATTCCGCAGCGAAGCATTCGAGGCCAGAAAAACACACTTTGGAACTGAGAGCTTGCACTCGGCCTTCAGGAGGCCCCTCACCAACGTGCGAACAACAACAGGGAAAATGCCGAGGATCGACTGCTCAGTTCCGAAGATGCGAAACGGGATGTCATCAACCCATTGCCTCAAATGAAGGGCTGCGCTGGTATTAAAAGCGGCATCACAGGTACTGTGAAGACACGCGCGCGAGAGAGAGACAGCCTGTCCGCAGCCCGGCAAAACATCTCCCGACGGGAGGACACCTCTGTGAACAGCCTGGTCCAGCGTGAGAAGCCTTGGCCCTAGGTACGCTTCCACGGCGAGCGCCAAGAGCCGCACAGGACATCCTAAATCCCTGGCAGCTTCGGCCAACGCTGCCATCTCGAGTTGGTCGTAAAATTTAGTGAGGTTGAGAAGACCCCCTCCGACCATGAACCCTCGAAGGATGGCCAATCCACTTTCCAACTCATCCAACCACCCCGCCTCATCAGCCCCGCCACCCACGGACTTATCCCACGCCCCGTGGTGGGCAGAATCCCACTTAGAAATGTACCGGTGCCGTATGCGTACCAAGACGACATAGGCAAAGCCCATTAAGGCGATGGGGCGGAAGCCTCCGTCAGGCTTATCCAGAAGCGCAATGAGACAGAAAGCCTGGGACAAAGGCAGGGTGGCCGAGCACTCGATATCCGTGAGCAGCGCAACGAACTGCATCTTGGCTTCTACACTGGCCTCCTTGATCAACCGAGGGGGAATCAGGTCAGGGCCGCGCCCTCGGCCGTCAGGCATTGATTTCAACGCCGCGTCCAACATATCAAGCGTGATGGGATCTAGAGGCGGGCTTTCACGAGCCAACGACCGCAAATTGGCAAGACACTTGCGAGCAGAGTCGGCGGAGTGTTGTTGCCAGTATCCCGACCACACACGAGCCTGAAACTCCAAACGTTCAGGGACATTGCCAACAATATAATCGCCATCCTGGGTGTCCTTGACAAGGTGGCTACGGTCTGGCTTCAAGGCGCGGTGAGCTCCTCTGGCCGATCCCTCAGGAGGAGGAGGAGGAGGAGGAGGAGGAGGAGGAGGAGGAGGAGAGGGAGGAGGAGGAGGAGGACCAATGTAAACCCAAGACCCATCAACGCTGTTGAAGTATAGCCTCCCGCCAAGAACCCTCTTCATAGGCCCCTAGAAAAAGGTCGTTTCCACAAGGAATTGCCCCGTTGGGGGACAACCATGTGAACATCTTGAAGCGTGCTAAAGCACCACTCATTCTCAGGACTGCAAAGCAGAGCCACGATTTTTACGTCTTGGCGACCCCGAATCGTGCCAGACCACCGTTCCTGGGATTTCACCTCCGCAAATTAACGTAAATGTCGCGCCCCAACAATCCAGAGTCGTTCCAAAACACCACTTTTGTTGCGCTAGCCATGAGAATCAGTGAAACGCCTGCGAATGTTTAAAACGAATGTGCGCCGCGATATGGCGAGAACTACATTTTGGAAGGAGCCGCCCTCAATCCATAAAACTCTTGCAACTTTGTAAAACGAATGTGCGCAGCGCTAACGCGAGAGCCACATCTTGAACACCACCTGCCCTCCACCCGTAAACCCTTGCAAAGTCTTAGATCGAATGAGAGTTCGCTAAGGCGAGAGTCACCTATTGGAATGGAACCACCTTCAATCCGTGAAACTGCGTAGAGTTTGAAAACGAATGTGTGCGGGGCTAGGGCGAGAGCCACATTTTGAAAACGTCCCTCCCTCAATTCATGCAACTCTTGCAAGTTTTACAACGAATATCCGCGGCTCTGAGGCGAGATCCACATTTTGAAAACCACCCGCCCTCCATCTGTGAAGCTGTTGTCAATTTCTAAGCATCGGGGTCATACGTGGTGGGGAAGTCTCAGGCGAAACGACAGGCCCTTTCGACCGGCCTTGGAGTACGATAGGGAAGAGAGCTACCTACAAGGAAAAGGCATGGTCGAGAAGGAGGAGGAGGACGAGAAAGTAGAGAGCAGGAGGAGGAGCAGGAGGAGGAGAAAGAGGAGGAGGAGGAGGAGAAGCGATGAAGAGGGGGAGAAAGAGGAGGGGAGGGCGGACGAGGAGGAGCAGCACGATGGCGCCGGGAGGAGAGAGGAGTGAGCGGAAGCTCGTGGAGATCGGGGAAGACGAATTGCGCGAGCGAGGACCCGGGTGAAAACGCAATTACGGGGATGTTCAGGAGGAGTACGAGGAAGAGACGGAGAGGGAAGAACGAGAGAGACGATGAGGAGGAAGCAGGAAGCGGGAGGAGGGAGGACGAGAACGATCAGAAGGGAGTGTGAGGGAGG